ATATAGAAAGTGCTTATTTGAAATTTTGAAAGTAAGTTTTAAATTTCTATAGCTTTAATTATAGGGTTATCATAAAAATGACACTCTTTCTGATTTGTAATATATGTTAGATTTTGTATATTGGATGTATTTTACTGTACAGTCAATTTCCTTTCTAACAGTGTTATTTTTATTATGTTTACAAGATTGGTACTTACGTAACTAAAGGTCTGGAGGATCATTTCTTCAAATGTTTTTCAGTGTGACCTGAATATTCATGAAGCAGTGGGTATTTGTCTGGAAAAATTTTAAAAAATTGGGTCGATATTTTATTTAAAAAAAAAAAGAAAAGAGAATTGGATTTTAATTGTTTCTAGTCTAAAAACGGTATAAAAAGAAATAAGCGATTTGGTTCAATTGTTCCTAGACTTGTTTAAGAAATGTTCAATAAATATGCTGTCTAACATTTTCAGCTACGAGTTGAAATCGTAGAGCAGCATATTCCATGACAGATTGGAGTATATCCGTGCTGGTGTCATGAGTATGGTATGTAATGCGCCTCTTCATTTCAGCTAAGTTGTAGCCGCACCATTGTAACTAACATTTTCCAGGTTACCTCAAAGCCAGCAGTCAGAAGGATTAGGCCAGGTGATCGTGGTGGCCGTTGGAAAATTATAGCTGATAATTCTGTCATTTCCAAAATGAATATTCAGCAACTACTTCACTCTTGTAATGTGCGGAGGAGCATCATTCTTGTTTAAAAATTGTGTTACCTACTCATGCATGCTGTCGAAGTGCTGGAATGATCCAGTTGTGGAAACGAGATTCACGCCATTTGCTGTTGACAGTATAGGTAACATTGCCCTCAGGACTTATCTCCTCGAAAAAGAATGAGCCGATGAATAAACGCTGTCGGTAAATCTGCACCATGTATTCTTCACCATGCATTTCTTCAGAATGAAGAGGCAATTGGTACAATGTGGAAGGATTATCCATTGCCCACATTCTGCAATTTGAACTTTGGCAGAACTTTGCAGATAAAAATGGGCTTCTTCTGACCACAAGATGTTTTATGGCCATGCATTGTCCACTTCGAGCAATAAATTGTAGAGCGAACGTTTGCCATGTTTCCAGATTAACAGAAAGCAATTCGCTTAATTTTGAATGGATTGCGGGATGTTTCGTAAAAGTTTACGAAGCGTGCTGATAGGCATGTTTAAAGATAGAGCAAGTTCCCTTGCACTGCACATTTTCACACTACTTCTCATCTCATCTTGCAGCGATATAGCCATACCTTCTATTGACGTTGAAGCAATTGCTTTCCTCACTCTGCTAGATCTCGCATCAAATGATTCGGTCTATTCGAATTTACGAATCATCTTCCCCAGACCCTTGTCACATACCATACCAAAGCCTTGTTCCTTATGCCCATTAAAGTGTCTAGAACTTTTTCAGGGCAGCTGACACAGTAACGGAAACTGCATGTACCTCATATTTTTATTATAATTCTAATGTATACTGGGTATGTTGCGTCTTTTTGCATATTTTGACGAGTATGGCGCCACCTGTTTATTAAAATTTTGAACTATTTTTTCCTTTCGCCAGGCAAATTCCTATCACGTCACGTATATTCGGGTAAAACTTTAGGTCATTCTGGTCAGTGTTCTTTTTTTACAGCTTTTTGAAAGTGGGACTTCAATTATAATCACCCTATATGTTACTGAACAGCAGATCAGGATTTCTGATTAATAGTAGCCATTAGCATTATTTAAAATTTTTGTATTGTAGTGCACCGATGTGCAGAGCCTAAAGATGACTTAAAAATTAAGGATTAAAACCATAAAATTAGATGAAATAGCTTTTGGTAGTTTGTATAGCTATGAACGTTTAGAAAGCTGGTGCACATGTAAATTTCTTCTTGTCCAGTAATACGTTCCTTTGTAATGAGTATTTAAAATTCGGTGAATTTGGAATCGGATTCTGGATTCTAGATAAGAGGAACTACTCTGGATTCTAGATAAGAGGCTTTAAGGCAATCTTTGCAATTTATGAATGTCAGATCTTTATCACGTCTCAAAACATTATTTACCTCATTTAATGAATCAGAGAATTACTGAACATGGAATTATTCTGTGGTTACGCCTTTGTGCAAGCACAGATTAATTCATGTTGTCAAGTTGTGTGAAAGAATACATTGTATGGTGTCCAGATTCAAAGTGACATTTGAAAACTGGAATATGGATTGGCCAGTGGAATGTGTTCCATCTGCAGGTCAGGAAGACACTCTTATTCTACTAAACTGTTGTAATAGATTTTTAGTTATACAACAAAAGATAATTAATCGGCCGTGTGTTGTGAGTTTGCAAGTGAACTTCATTCCATTACAAGAATGAGAATCTCTCACAACTTAATTTGAAGGCATTTGTAACATGTGGGCTGCATGCTTAAAGACTTACAATCTGCATTTCTTTATCCAGAGTTCAATATAGGGAGTAATTTTCTATTTTCATTGATGTTATATTCTCGGAAATTAGACAAATTAACAATAGGCCCGCGATTCATCACAGATGAGAATCAGACTTCTAGATGCAGATTAAACGGTGAAACTAGTACTGGTATTCTGTATCATTTTGAGTGCAAAAGATAGAGTGATGCCAGGCTTCTAGTATAGGGAGACATACAAGTGTAGTAAGTGGACATGTTGAGCTACAAATACTGGAAAATCGAATGATTATTGAATGAAATTGCTGTAATAATCTGAATCATATCAAAATTTCAGTGTTTTAGGCCAGTGGTGCCCAACCTTGTGCTCGCCGATCGTTTTGTATGTGCTCGCCGATCGTTTCGTATGTGCTCGCCAGCTCGATTAGGTACTATGAACAAAAAATATTCTAAAATAACCATTCATTTATATTTATTAATTCTTAAAATATGGTAAGCATTTATAGTCATAAGAAATATCTTGCAATACGTTATAAAATAATTGATTGCTGACTGATGAACATGATAGCGAAGATGGAATCTTATTGCTTCATTCCGATGTTAGATAACTCAGCTGGGGAAAAGTACTTAACGATTTGTGGAACTTCTTTTGCCAATAAAGGAGTGTTTGGAATCCGGAAACGAAAGTTATAAAGAACTGGAAAATAATAATTGGTTATCCGATTTGTATTTTCTCACGGATATAACAGCTAAACTAAACAAAGATCTCCAGGGAAAAAAAAAAAAAAAAAAAAAAAAAAAAAAAAAAAAAACTTTTTCAATTGACTGGGACTGTAACTACTTTTCAGATAAAGTAAAATTTGTGGATAAATCAGATGAAAGAAAAAAATTTCACCCATTTTCAGAATTTATCAAGCCATATTAATAACCACAAGACAATTGAAACAGACTCAGAAAACCTAAATGCACTGAAACATAATTTTGAACTCCGCTTCTCTGATTTCCTTAAAGTTCAAACAATATTATTATTCATCTCAAACCCATTTGCCGAAATTAATATTTCAGATGTATCACGTAAGATTAGAAATATGTTTAACAAAAATGTTGATGTTTTGGAAATGTGCACGCGAGAGGCCAAAGGTTGGGCACCACTGTTTTAGGCTAAGAATTTCTCCTTGCTGATAATATAACACTTCATCATATATGAGTAGTATAAATACATGAAGAAACATTGGCTATATAACAGGCTTCCAAAGGTAAAAAATAAGCAAGGGAAATGTTTAATGGACAGACTTCACAGCAATAACGTGAGTTCTAAAAACTACTGTACTGAAAACCAGTGGAATCTCAGTTATGCTGTGCAGGTAAGGTCAATTTTCCTCTAAAGCATCTGAATAGTTTTTTAAAGTATATCATGACTTTATAGCTGCATTGTCATTGGGGGTGTATAATCTTTATTGACGTCTCTCTGAATGCGGTTATTAGTAAGCAATATTCATCCACTTTTTTTTTTATCAAAAACCTATGTGTAGAACATTCATAGAACTATGGGTTTTAAGTTCTCATAAATATAATTCAACATTTTGTGTCACTGGGATAAAGTACTGTAAGTAAAATAATTTCAAACATTTTTAATGACCACTTTTGTATACTGAATCCCCCACAGAAAAAAAAAAAAAAAAAAAAAAAAAAATTAATAGGATAAGGATCTCTTGGCTGTTGATAAGCCATACCTCCTTTCATGCTTATATTTAGTAACAGCATATTAGCAGCAATGTTTGTTCATCATTGAGGTAATGGTATGTAAATAAGAATGTGCAGTCTTGTAAATAAGTTACATTCTGCGGGAGTTTTTAGTTTCTTGCCGCATGACATGTAAATGATTTTGGTAGAAATCATTTAGTTATATTTTCCAAAAAGAACAAGTTACTAACAGGATCTTTATGGAGAGCCTAATTAAAATTTTTAAATTTTACATATTTTTACTAAAAGATGCCACATTACCAAAACTATTATAGTTTATATATCTGATTCCTTTCTTAAACTGGTACCATGATCTACAATGAACCATTCAAAAGGTATTAAGCCTTGGTATTCTTTTTAAAAGAAGCATTGTGTATGTACTTATTGTAACAAAGTTTTCCATATTTTATTTTATAAGTATTTTTCCATGCAATATATTTTGATTATCTGCTATATACACTGCATTTTGTGAGTGACAAAATGGCGCAATCATTTTAAGATACATTATACAGCTAATCTACTTGTTTCGGCAGTTCTAAATCAGCACTTGTCTAATACGAATGTTAATGTCAATTAACATCTCATAATTGTGGTGAAGTTATAATTGTTAACCATATGTTGAGTTCGTAAAAGTGTAATTATTTAAATTGGAAGTAAAATTGCATAAACAGCTTCATAAAAATTAACAATTCTTTGAGCATTATGTTAAATTTAGTACGACTTAGATTTCTATAGCACTGTAATTTTAATTGCTTATTAATAACATTAATTATGGTTTTTCAGAAACTTGTATTAAATGCATTTTTGAATTTTGAAATTACCTTAACTGTGATCAGCTGTTCCTCTGAAGCCTCAGGAACCACCAAAGGAGCCCAAGGATGAAGAAGGTGGTTGCATTTGCTAAGCAGTCTGCACTGTCCGAGCTGTAACATTCCGGACACTGAGGTCTCTTCTGCATTTGAAGCTTGCGGCAAATCTGCTGGCAGTATGTCGCTTGTATAACAGCATCAGTACCTATGCTCTCTGAATTAGCTGAGACCTTTTTTCTGTTTCAGCGATATAACTTATTTACAGTTTTCATCTTCAGTATGTTGTCATGCAGTGAATCTTAGCCATTTTTCATTCTGCAGTAATGGAAGAATTGAACATATAGAAACAAAATAGTTTCTTTAGCGTACTCTTATTTGCAATAGGGATTAACTCTTCAATTTCTTTGTGCTTTCATCTCACACATGATCAACCAGAATGTTGGGAAATTCCAAAGCTGACTATTTACTTGCCTTCAGTGCACTGACAAGCTAATCCCTTGGTTTAGATCTGTGGTAACAAACTCTAACACAAAGTGCTTATAAAACATTTATGTATAAAGAAAATATAGATCAAGCACAATTTTCATGTTTTGTATTGTGATGAAATTTAATTTTTCTTGCACATGTGAATATGCTTTGGTGAATTACCCTAGTTTTCACTGAAATGTGATATACATTGTGAAATTTATTGTATTAAATGAGAACTATGTATCTGCATGCTGTTAGGTATATGCTAAATTTTTTTGTAAACATTATGGAAGTAAATATAAATATGAAGCCACTTGCCTTAAAAACATTAATGCTCGTATTGATACTATCAGAAATTTTGTATAATTTTCCTACCATTTTGATAAATTATAATGGTTTAATAATTCTATGTAAAATAGCCTGCGTAAGTGTGTATTAGTGTTTAGATGGATATTTAATTTTTGATGTAAGTCTTTTATGCAAATGTTTTGATTCTGAGGATTTTTAAGGATTTTTAAACTCCTATTTTGTTCACATTTAGTTTGAATGGACATGTTCTATTTTAGAATCTATATGGCATCTTTTTTTTTTTTTTTTTTCTCATTGTAATTCTTATCAATGCTGTGGTTAAATGTAAAACCAAATCTGATGTGAATTACTGATGGGATGTGTACTATAACTTTATTGCTTCTTAAAATATGAGGTAGTTGTATGATAAATTTGTCATGTTGGATAATCCATTTAAACATTTATAAAAATCACGACACCACTTAAGATTCATAACAAGAATGGTGCTATTATTATAATTATCAGTTACAGCTGGCTGTTCTATGTGTATTGTTAATGATATCTTATCAATTCTAACATATTCATTTGATTTATAAAAAGTGAGTACATATAAAAAACACTGTTTATATATTTTATTAGAGCTTTACGGAGTATTAATTATTTCGTCGTGCTTGGATATAAAATTTTTGCTCATTGTAAATTTCTTATTTCTCTGTTTGTGATATTTATTTAAGTTGGGAGATATTTTCAGTCTGGCATTAGTTTTATGGAAGCCTAATTTTCATTTAGTAGGCGATTCATGTCATGCGGAAGTCAGGCAACATTTGTTATTTGTCAGTTGCTCCAATCCAGTATGCAAAATCTTTCATGGTCTGAATTTTCAGAAGGAAATTTTAATCCCAGATTGTCTAAGTGTTTATAGGTTTAAGTGAAATTTGAAGGTACTTGGCATTTTTTAGTGTAGTCATTTAAATCTGAAGATCAATTTAATTTCGTTTATACTAAAAGCGTTTTGACTGTTCGTTCTTGATAAGAAAAATGGAATAAACTGTTTTGCTGGGAAATTTATTATCATCTGAAGATTTTTTAAAAAAAGTTTCCACTTTTATATACATGTTTGTTTATGCTGATTTTCCCAGCCTAAATTGAAGCAAAAAATGTGGTGGGAGGAAATGTGAAATTCATTTTCCCTGCTTAAGCTGCAATAGCAAACACTTAATATGAAAAATAATGTTCCCTTTTGATGAAATTCGTAATCGCTTTTTTCCAAATCTGCCTATTGGGGATGGTTACTGACGCACTGAATTTCCTTTTTAAGTTATTTTCGTTCTAGAATTATAAGCTCTGATTTTGCTGGACTTTTAGTAACACTTTCATGCATAATACCGATGTTTTCCACAGACCAGCTGGCTCGAGGACGTGGTTTTGTAATGTCTGGTGTTGAATCTGGGTCCTCAAATTTCTTTATCAGTCTGCGAACTGTTGTTTCATTGCGTGCACTTCCACGTCCAAAGATTGCACGAAACTTCCTAACAGTCTGTGCATAACACTTTCTATTCTTGTAACGAGTTTTCACAATCAAAACTTGCTGCCCCCTTGCATAATGTGTCAGGTGTTTTAAGCTGCTGCGGAGCTGCGAAATTAACTGACAGTGATAAAATACTAGTGTTGCCAGGTCAAATCAAACTCGGCATTTTTAAGTCAGAATATTTGCTTGGATTAAGTACATAAAAGTATGTTCCATTTTCTGAAAATAAAGTATGTTTTAGGTCATATTAAATCCGGTGCTTTTGTTATTACACCCTGTATAATGAGTGCTAGGTACTAAAACTTATTTAGTACGATAATGCTTAAAAAAATATAGCTTCGAAAACAGTAGAATAAGTATCCATTCATTCTTTACTGATAATAAATGCACTACGGCTTTAAAATTGTTTCTGCTCCTATATAAACATGTGAGCTTCTCTTTTAGTTGAGAATATTGATGCTTAAATTGTTTTCTTCGTATTAGAATACTCTCTTTTATTGATTTTTCTGGTATTAGTGCCTTATTTGGCACTGTTGAATCAGCTTCACTAGCTATGCCAAATCTTTTGTTAAGATCCGTGATATTCAAGAGAGATAGTCTAATTATCAGCTTCTATATAATCAGCTTACATTTCCTTTGCTACATCTCTCAGATTTCTATAAACTTTCTGTCTCACTTAGGGCACTTGAAGTTTGCAATACAAGTGTCCTGTGCGTCGAAAAAGTGAGGTAACCCTATCAGTAATTATATCATAAGATATAGGCACAAAGTGAACCAGATGTAAATTGAAGCAGGGTCAACAAATCATACTTGTATTTGAATTTTTAGCCTGGATTGTAATTTGATCAGTCATTAATGAGCTCATTTTAATTGGAATATGAGTATAAAAGACATAAAATTATGATATTTATGATGTATTTTCCTTTGTATAGGAAGATTTTCATACATGTAAAATCATGATGCTTACATATATTTACTGATAAGATGTTCTTTGGTCACTTTTGATCTCGTCTTTGTCAGTCTGTTTCCCTATATCGTGTTAAGATTAAGCGGAGTAATTTTTTCAAATCAAAGTTTGTAGTAATAAACAAATATTAATAATTAGAAAATACTTGACTGTCTCACTTTTCTGAAATCGTTTACCAGTGATATATACGTGCAGATAGTACACTTGCTGACTTCAGATGAAGGATTTGTAAATTTAGTAAATGTGTATTTGTGGAATAAAATCTTAAATTACTCGATTAACCTCCAACAGGTATTAGGGAGAAAAGTCATGTTTTCTTTAACTGAATATTTATTGTTAGAAATTACTTCAAGACCTTCAGTATAAGGATTATATTATATTTAGTATTTGTCATAAGAAGTTGTGTATTGTAATAAATTATATTTGTAAACTGGCTTTTGAAAACAACCTAATGACCCCCCTATTTTATTTCCAAAGCATAATTATAAAGGAAAACCTATTCAAAAGTTATTTCATTAGATTCTAGGTACAAGTTAAAAAATGTAGCTAATAATTTCCTGCAACAACTGCTGACAGAATTCACCCCCCGCCCCCACTTTTTAAGAAAATGAGTGTGAAAGTTGTTCTAATATCTGATATTCAAATCTGGACCGTATTCTAAATGTAAGGCTATGTGAAGGTGGATTAACTCAGTAATTTGCGTTATAAATAGCGCCGTTTGAAGTTACTTATTGACTTTTAGTACTTTAATTACACATAAAATTCGAAATGGTTATTTCCGAAGTAACCTGCGCTGAGGCACTCCTTTTCATTCATTTAAATTTTATTACAAAAAACGTGACGCATAAAATTTTATTTGCGATTCATAATGATGCTAGTGCATTAAGCTTCATTATTAGTTAATACTAATAGCAACCAGTTGTTATAGTAATTGAATATACTTAAGAAAAAGCAATTTTTTAGTGAAGTTTTTACAATTTTCTTGGATTTCAAAACGCTCATATTAGAAGCTAAAAAATGACTTCTTTTCCTTTGCTTTAATTTTGAATTTTCTTTTTTCAGCACCAGGTTTTAGCAGTTTTGCTGATGCTTCATTCTGTTAATATTTAATTTTACTACTCTTTCTGTGGGAGCACTGGTCGCATGCATTTGAACCATAATGAATTTTCGAAGCAGCTAAAGTATTGTTCTGTAGTTGAAAATTAAGCTAGCTGTAAATTTAAACTTTGTCTTTGATTATTACAAGCAAGAAATGGGAGATTTTTCCTACAAAATCTCAGCATGAACAAATTTAAGATTTTTTTTGTTCATTATTAAATTTTAACACTAGAACTGTCATTCTGTAGAATGACTGCAATAGAACAAATGGACGTTGATCTTGTAGTATCTGAAGCATGCAATTATGCCTGCAGAGCGGAAGTGATACATAATTGATACCATGCATATGCAACTTCCTGTCCTCATAATTCCAAATTTACTGAGCCATTAATGTTAGTGAGTCAAACCTCCTTTCAAATATTTTTACTTTCCAAGACATTATAAATATGTTATCACTTGAAACTTCAAAATTACACTGGTGTGCAAAAATTAAAGACGAGACGGTTATTTCAATATAACTTTGTACAAAAGCTTTCCAAATCAACACATTTAATACCGTAAGATCTCCAATACGTAAGGGCATGAGTAATGTAAGCAACACTTACTAAAAGAGAAATTAGAGGGATAAAAATAAGCTTTATTGAAAACGTAGCATGGAGCGCAATGCGACTGAAGGCCGAAACATCCCTGTGATGGGTGTCCAGCAAGAAACATCCGGTCTTTAATAGGGGATATGATCACCCCTGACTGCTAGGCAGGTTTCACAGCGTCTGCCCATGCTGAGAATGAGGGTGTCAATGAGTTGTTGAGGCATTGCTGCCCATTCGTCTTGCAGCGCCAATCGAAGCTCCGTAATCGTTACTGGTGGTAAGGTACGAGCTGCCAAGCGTCTGCCTAGAAAATCCCATACATGCTCGATGGGATTGACATCCGGAGATCGTGCCGGCCAATCCATACGTTCAATATCCTCACTCTCTAAGAGCTGTTCGGCAGCTACTGTGCGATGACATGGTGCATTGTCGTCCATGAAAAGGAACTGCGGACCCATAGCGCCTCTAAAAGACGCACATATGGAAGAAGAATCTCGTTACAATAACGGGTCCCGTTGACTGAACCTGCGTCGAAGATGTGAAGATCTGTACGACTACCAAGCATGATGCCTCCCCAAACGAGAACACCGCCACCTCCATACCTGTCCCTTTCAATGATGTTCGAGGGATGATTGCGGCTTCCCCGCTCTCTCCAGATGAGTATGCGATGAGAATCGCTACTCAGACTGAATCTGCTCTCATCTGTAAAGAGTACTCGTCCCCATTCATTGTCTCTCCAATTCCGGTGTTCCCTGCACCACAGAGAACGCCTTCTCCGATGGGCAGGCGTTAGAGGTACACACCGTACAGGGCGTCATGCAAACAGACCACCACCGTGCAATCTTCTGGCCACGGTAAAACGCGATATCGGTCGTCCAGTCGCCTGTGTCGTGTGTCTAGCGATTTCTCCCGCTGTCTGCCGCCTGTTTCTTCTGGCCTGTAAGGCAATATACCGGTCATCTGCGGGTGTGGTTCCTCGTGGACGACCACTACTAAACCCCCGGATAGCTGTTCCTGTAGTTTGAAATTGTCTCCAAAGTCGTGAAACGATGCTGTGAGCAATTCCGAACTCTGCAGCCACACTTGTCACAGTGCGGCGTTCCTCCAACTTCCCAATGATTCGACCTCGGGTAAAAGCATCCAGATGTCGGTAACAGATTGATTATTCGCCATTTCTCGCTGAGGCAGCAACTCGGTGTGATTTTAACTGCTATACGGTGTGCAATCTCTTTGCCAGAAATACTGATCTTACACCGACAACATGCTTTATACTACTCAGACACTCCCCCATTATGTCTACCTGCATATCTGCGCATGTGCTACCGTACATCACCTTACTTAATCTCCTGATTGGTCTTTCTGTCCGCTTTGCCTCTTCGTTCAGCTGATATGCTAATTTTTCGACTTCGTCTTTAATTTTTGCACACCAGTGTATGTCTGTATTTCATTTCCACAAGCGTGGAAACGGTAATAAAATGTTTCATTTTTTTTTAAAAGAATAAATCGCAGTAGTGTTATTTTCAAGTCAGTTATGATCAATTTCGTGCGTAAACGGGAAATTACTAAATAACGTTATTAGCAGTGGCGTAGCTAAATTTTTTGCAGTTTCTCTCAATGCAGACGAAAAAATCAAATCTATAAAATATTAAAACGACGTAATGAGAAATGAATAAAAGCTGTGTGCTAATTCTTTTAATAAAACTTGAATTCCAACATTTTAAGTGTATTTTGCTTGTTTTTCCATTAGCAAAATCACCGATGACATTCTAGACGCTTGCTTTTTTTCTAGTTGCTCTTGCCTAAACAGTACAGTATTATTAAAAACAGAACACTCATTTTTAGGCCTTAGGTGATTGTTAATCGATCTATATTTTGAAAAACTTCTTTCCCAAAAAGTGATACTTATAGCAAGTGCGAGGGAAATTCGAAGCAGAGTTACGATATTTGAAATTTTATTTTGTAGATGGTACTTTAGAATAAATTGTAGAATTTCAAATCGACTGCCCTTCGACCTCTCGGCTTCGTCTTCCAAAGCGGTAACAGAAACAAAACTCTGAAGTATTTTTCTTTCAGTGAGGAATTCTTCCTTATTTATGTCATTGAATTCATAATTTAATTGTTATTCGAGTTTTCCATTCAAAGGTTTTGATGGAGTAAAGCAGGCTTAGCAAGCATGTGACGCTTTTGAAATCTCTTTGAACACTTTGCCCAGTGTAAAAAACAGCTCTCTACTCAATTAAGTTATGTATCACGATTCGCCATCTCTCGATTCTTGACCTTCACCAGCGACCAGTCTGAATAGAGGTAGTTTTTAGACTTTGGTTCAAATTCTAAACAACGGGTTTGCTGCCTTACATGTAACTAGGTTATGTAACATTGTATTCAGACGTAAATACGAGCCATGCCCCTGTCGTAACGTGAAATATGCGAGTTTCCATTTTTCAAGGCCTCTGCAGAGAACTTTAGCTCTACGAAAATATCCAACCCCTTATACAGATGAACTTTTCTATAATTTAATAAATGTCATTCTACTCCGAAAATCCATATGACTAACGATATAATATATTTTGCATGAAAAATTTGCTGCACAGGTCCAAAAATATCCAAATACAGTTGCACAGGTATTGCATCATTTATAACGATTTGCTACGAAGGTTTTGCTGTGTTTTAGGATTGGCAAATACCATATGATTGGTGCAGTAGTTTCAGTCATGGCCATTGGAAACCATTTTTATGCTACTCTGTGAATTTATCATATTACAACATTTAATGTTTGAAGGGAATAGACATATATATGTATTTATATTAAAACAAACAAAAAAGGGGGAAGAAGAAGAAAAATTATGAAAGAGGAAGGGAAAGAGCTTGTTTAAATAATATATTAAAAGTAAATAACAATAAGAATAGCGAGAAAACATATATATATATATATATATAAGACTTTGAGAGGTAAGTCCTGAAATAAATTCGCTGCAGTTTAGTAGTCAACTAGTAGTATCTATAATGAGCCAAGTCGTGTGTCTACGATTGTTGCATCACTGAGGTTTATCGCAATTACTGTATAATTTACAGATTCTTGTATTTATTTGCCAACTTTGCTAGTATAATTCTGTTTTTTAGAGTGGCACTGAGCCACGCTGACCAATTTGCATCAGCTGGCTTATTGAGGTGGAATTCTTTAGTTTCCGGACATTCAAAGGTGTAATGTTCTTGATCTCCCAACTTGCCGCAGTCACATAGATCTATTTTACTAGTTTGAAAAGTATGAAGATAGGTTAGAAAAAGACCATGTTACGAGGAACCACGTATTTTGCTCAGCAAATTCGTCGATACGTTTGGAACCATTTTGAAGGTGGTTCTTCTAGTTAAAGCTTTTTACCATCTCATTTGCCATTGCTGCATCAAAGATTGCCATGTAGAGGCTTTGAGGTGCGATATCGCTAGTGGGACTTAGGTACGTCTCTTGTGCAAAATGTGGTCATAGCTGCTTCTTCCGCCAAATGGTCAGCAATATCATTTCCCTGAATTCCCACGTCTGCGGGAACCCAGAAAAGTTGAGGACGATCTGAGAAATGGAAATTTAATAACTGTTGCTGTAACCTCCCGAACCAAACTGTTTTAGGTCTTGAAGATACAGAGCGCCGTTAGGCCAAAGGCAGAATCTGAAAAGATTGAGACTGAATGTTTATTGGTATATAAGGCTGCGGTTAGTCTTGTTGCTTTCCTCAGTGCAACTAATTCTGCTT